CTCTAAATTGTTCAAATCATGACCCAGGGGATAGGGCGGGGCCACAATAGGGGGAATCCCAAGTTTTACATTGAAATATATAGGAAAAATCTTTAAAAATCTTCTCAAGAACCACTGGACCAGAAAAACTGAAACTTATGTGGAAGCATCCTGGGGTAGTGTAGATTCTAAATTGTTCAAATCATGGCCCCTGGGGGGAGGGTGGGGCCACAATAGGTATTACAAGGGGGGAGTCTGGTAATGAACAGCATGGCCAAAGTTACTCAGGTGAGCGATGTGGCCCATGGGCCTCTTGTCAGATTAACTCACTGTGTATGTTGCATATGACCTTCACTTCCTGCATGAGTGGCCTTGTTTAATATTGTGGAGCAGGTTAATTCCCTACTTTGTCCAAATATGCATGTATGATGCATCTGGAGATTTTGTACTGCGAAGTAAAAAAAAATACTGCAGTTTTATTTTCCCCGTTTTTGTGAAAGCAAGGGGACATAAAACCTCATGTATCTGTCAGTCTCTCCTTCAGAATGTCACAAAAGTTTAATCCTTGTCATAACTTTTGAATGAGAAGAGATACTATTTAAATCTTGTCACATGTACAATGCCTGTGACATGATTAACAAATATACTTTGACTTTTGGGGGGGGGGGGGGGGGGGGGTTATTGATTATATAGTGAAAGTGTATTATTTCTTTGAAATTCTATTCTGCTCCTTGGTATTAAGCAAACAAAGTAAGTGCATAAATACGATGAGCAATGTTGAACAAAGTATTGTCAGTCCGTGCTCAGTGAAGTGTGCAGAATTTAACAAATTGAACACACCCGGTAAACGTTAACTGTTTTTGTAAACAGGGCATGAGCTCTGTTAAGTGTTAATGTTTACGTTTCAGCGGGTATGTTCAATTTGTTAAATTCTGCATACATCACTGAGCATTGACTGACAATACTGGTGAGATTGTTGTGCTTTCTCACATTTCTGCTCTGAATTTTCAGGATTATAGTTTTAATATTTTTCACTAATGCACAACAAAATTTCTACTTTTTTAAGCATTAAAGATAAAGTTTACTTTGTGAAAGTGCAAGGATGTGTCAATCAAATGCGTCCCGAAATTTGTAGTTTCATTAATTTCCTGACAAATTAAGTTTTTTTAATTATATTTCCTTGTGAAATGCTATAGCAACATATAAGTCATGATATTATACAGAAAATTGAGAAAATATTAACTTCAAATCTGTGTCCATGCAGGCCCCTATAAAATCGCATAAATTCACTAAATATCTCTTTCTGCCTGTGTATTTAGCAGACAACCTGATTGCATAGTTATGATGAGCAAGGATGCTTCTTTGAAGATTTTTAAATTCATAGCTCCTGGTCAGGGGCTTTTGTGTAAGGGTCGGCCTCTGTTGAATATATTGTGAAATCCATAATTGCCTTGTAATTCTTCATCCACTCTGCCCATGGGTATTAAGGAAACTTAAAGTTAGTGCATGCTTATAACTAGAAAGGGTGCCTTTTCTAAAATTGTAAATTTCTCGACTCCTTAGTCTAGGACCTCTGGTGCTAGGGCAGGGCAATATTTTTTGTTAGTCTACTTAAAGCAGTTATTCCCCTTTCGTATTCCTTATGATATTTTATCACTGTAATTAATGCAACTGAAAGGTCGATTAAGGTTGCATGGGATACCTCCACGTTATGACATTTTCCGTTTGAAGTATTGTTTTGATTTGCATGAGTGCTTGTTATCAGGTCAAAAATTGTAGATAAACTGTTTAAAAGAACACTCTGAAGCTATTTCTTTTTTTTTTGCAAGTTCTCACAAGTCAGCATTTTAGTTAAAATAGACAAAAAAAAAATTCCCAAGTATATAAACTTATTTATATAATTGAATTACTGACATTTAAAAAGGAAACCCTGTAAAAGTTAATTTAACATTGCTGCTTTTGAACACTTCTCAACCAAAGCTGTATTTTAATTGTTTAAGTGTTCAGCACCTTGTGTGCGGTGAGGCATGGATAAGTTTGATCACTTCACATTGTGCTGAATTATGACCAACTAATTATCCAATTTACCCAAGCTAGTCTTCTTTTTTTATTTTCTTCAAGAAGTAACTGTTTGGTCACAAATCAGCTAGTTGTTGTATATTGTCCCAAAACCTTTAGAGGAATGCATTCAGCTGCTCTGACAATTCTTGGAAAGCGATTGTACATGCATTGTTTTCAAAATAGTTGAAAGTTAAAAACTAAAAGTGTGATTTTTCCCCTGAGCCAAAGGCTCAAGTGAGCTTTTCTGATCGAAATTTGTCCGTTGTCTGTTGTCGTTGTCATTGTTGTCGTCATTGTAAACCTTTCAAATTTTCACATTTTCATCTTCTGATGAAGAATCACTAGGCCAATTTCAACCAAACTTGCCACAAAGTATCCTTGGGTAAAGTGAATTGAATTTTGTTCAAATGAAGGGTCATGCCTTCTTCCAAGGGGAGATAATTATGATTTCGTTAAAAATTAATGGCATCATTTAAAAATATTCTCAAGAACCACTGTGCTTGAAAACATGAAACTTATGTAGAGTCTTTGTGAGGTAGTGTAGATTCAAATTTGTTCAAATCATGACCCCCGGGGGTAGGGTGGGACCAAAATGGTGGATCAAAGTTTTATATAGGAATACAGAAGAAAAGTCTGTAAAAATCTTCTTCTCAAGAACAGCAAAGGCATGATTAGTCATATTTACATGGAAGCATCCTCAGGTAGTGTAGATTCAATTTTGTTCAAATCATAACCCCTGGGGGGAAGTTTCGTTTGGTATTGCTTACCACTTTAAATGAGAGAGTTTTAAAAGATTTTTTTTAACATACATTACAAAAAATACTTTTATAGTTTTTTCAGATAGAGTTATAAATAAAAGTAAAATAAAGAGACAAATGTCAATGTTAGAGGGAATGAGATTGGTTTTCTAAGAGTGCTCAAACCCTATTGCTTTGTTTAGACAAAATGGCGATAGCGACAAATGGAGGCAAGTGCAGGCAATTAAATAGAACTACTTTAAGATTTTTATTGAGTACTAAACAAATTATTTTGTTGACCCCTGATCATTAGCTCACTGAAAATTTTATGGTTGTCTGTTGTCGTGGTCACTTTTCACATTTTCATCTTCTTCTCAAGAACCAATGGACCAATTTTAACCAAACTTGGCACAGAGTATCCTTGGGTCAAGGGGATTCGAATTTGTTCAAATGAAGGGCCACACCCTCTTCCAAGGAGAGATAAGTAAGAAATAGTGAAAAATGGGTGGGTGTATCTCAAAAATTACTGGGCTAGAAAAGATGAAACTTATATGAAAGCTTTCTGACATAATGTAAATTCAATTTTGTTCAAATCATGACCCCCAGGGTAGGGTGGGGCCGCAATTGGCAATCAAAGTTTTACATAGAAATATATAGGAAAAATCTTTAAAAATCATCTTCTCAAGAACAGCAAAGAGATGATTTGTGATATTTATATGGAAGCATCCTCAGGTAGTGTAGATTCAAGTTTCTTCAAATCATGACCCTTTTGCTAGGTGGGATCACAATGGGCATTCAAATTTCAAAGTTTTACATAGAAATATATATAGGATAAGTCTTTAAAAATCTTCTTAAGAACAGTAAATCAATGATTAGACATATTTAATGGAAACATCTTTATGTAGTTTACATTCAAGATTGTTCAAATCATGACCCCCATGGGAAGGGAGGGACCATAATTGGTGATCAAAGTTTTAAATGAGAATACATAGGATAAATCATTAAAATTTTCTTACCAAGAATAACAAATCATATTAATGCATAGTCATATTAATTAAGAAACATCTTCAAGTAATGTTTATTCGAATTTTTTTCAAATCATGACCCCCGGGGGGTACATGTAGGAATGGGCCACAATAGAAGATCAAACATATAAAAAAAATCTTCTAAAGCTTTGATTAGTCAAACAAATATGAAAGCATCCTCAGTTAGTGTAAATTCAAACGTGAATAAATCAGGCCCCCCTTTTCGGGGGGGGGGGGGGTATTTGTGATCACCTATATTAAACCTTTCGAATACTAAAATGATTTCTTTTTTCTAGCCAATGTGCTCAGGTGAGTGATGTGGCCCTTGGGCCTCTTGTCCTATTTCTTTTTCTTCGGTCAGTTTTTTTTTTTTTTTTTTTTGCTTTTATTTACCCATGCAAACAAATTTGTGGTAGGATTGATTGATTGATTGTATGTTGTTTTACGTGACGTTTGAGAATTTTTCACTCATATAGAGGTGTCACCATATACCGGTGAAGGGCTTCAAATTTAGACCTTTACCCGACACTCAGGGCCATTGAGTAGTGAGGTTTCTTTATCGTGCCAGTGCTGTAGCCCTACCGTGACACGGGCCTCGGTTTTTAAGGTCTCATTCAAAAGACCCGTAACTTTCACTTCAAAGTGCCGAGGGCTTGGCAAAGGAACAGTTGCTACATATTTTTTTACAGACTTAGGTCAGTCGCGTCCGTGATTCAAACACTCGACCTTCTGATCATGGAGTGAGCGCTCTACCCACTGACAGCATTTTGTGGAAGGATATAGAATTCACCTAGTCTGTCTGTCCATGAAATTTTATCCTGGATATAAATTTGTAAATCATTGGAAGCTTATACATGGTACAGAGAATGTTAATGACCCAAAAATGTGTCTGGACCTTGATGCAAGGTCTTTTTGGCAAGTTCAATGTCACTCAAAGAAAAAATTATAGAATTTTTTTTTCGAGGTTTTAATAAAAAAAAATGGAAGCTCATATTTAGTACAAAGATTTTATTCCCTATGGGTGTGTCCTGATCATGAAGAATGTCATTCCTGCAAGTTCAAGGTCACTGGCAGAAAAAAAAACAACCAGAAAATTATTGTTAAGGCTATTGTTGTTGAAGATCTTGTTAAAGCTGTGTTGTTGAAGATGGTCAACATTTCAATCATATCAACTAGTTTTCTTTATTTAATTTTGTAGGTGGAGATGCATTCTTGATGTGCCTTCTTCTTTCCAGTTCTTACAAAATAAACATGAGAGAAGGAAACTGGATAAACAAGTACAACGCTGTTGCCAAAGGTTTTCAGTCCAAGGAAATCACGAAGCCATTTACACTTGAAGACTTAGAAAAATACAAACCAATCGTGAAATTCAATGAATCAGAGGTTAGGTTCTCTTCTGATATCTTCAAAGATATCAGTTTCCTCGAACTCTCAAAGAATTCAGAATTTGTGGATATCTTCCTGACTCTGGCAGAGAAAGGAAACATAGCTGAGTACTGCAGGTCATGGATTTACCCTCCAAAAGAGAATGAAGTCTTTTGCTGGTTATTGCCACAACAAACGGAAGAATTGATAGAAAAACTTGGAGAGGATATTTTCAAACACCCAACAATGCAGGACCCATCAATACATGATTTGGTGTTCAGCAAGGGTATGTTTATTTGATTTCAAAATTAAGAAATTCATGAATATTAAGGTTGAAGGATCTTCTTATAAGACAAATTACTCCGAATGGGATACGTCTTTCATTTGTCATGTTGAAATATCTTTGGAGCAATTTTTCCTCACAGGTTATACAGGTTATGATTATTTTTATTGTAAAATGCATAAATATTTCTTTTGGAAAATCATAAGCAATAAGCAACATGATTTTATATGAGGGAATAAAGTGATAATGATCATTAATTGTTATACCATAAAAGTAACTGATGCATATCACAGACTTTTTTTTAGGTTAAGAAAGTGTTTAAAAATGGACTTAGTGGCTTTTCCATTCCAATAGATATTTTTATCAAATAAGTTAAAATTGAATTAACAAGCTTTTTACAGATCTTGTCATACTTTCATGCATGAAAAAAAAAATGCAAATGATTAACCAGAGTACTAACTGAACACTACCCAACACCAGAGTGAATAGAGTTACTTGTATCCAACAAATTTTGTTTTCTTTAATTACAAGACATTTCTTTTTGAGGCTGTATGTTATTATGAATTTGACTGTTTCAGCATTGAATTGCAAGTGCTTTTGTCTTAATAGTTGGAATACCAATGCAGATTATTTTGAGGGGAGACAAATCTGTGATGAATTTTATCGAGAATTTAAAGAAAGGGAAGACAACCATGTACCATGCCTCTGGAATGATAATAGGGTGTGCTGGTAGTGGTAAAACAACATTGTTAGAGAGACTGAAGGGTATTGACCTCGAAGAAATAAAGAAAAATATCAGTTCAACCAGGGGAGTCGATATCCACACGGATGTTTTTGATGTGACAGACAGCATCCAAGGTATTGCTTATTTACTGATAATTTAATAGGGATTAATTTTCACATCTATTTGTCATGAATGATTTATGATTCAGGTGAGTGTTGTGGCACAATGGTCTTTTGTTTCAAAAATTGTATATATACAGCATATCACAGTATTGGCAAGAATGCTTGCTGTGAATACAATGTACCTACTTTGAAGAAAGGTATTTTATCACAAAGTACTTCACCACAATGAATTTTTCATCAGTCATCAGAATATAAAGATCCATGCATGTACAAGAACATAATTTATGCTACCTACAATGTATAAGGGGTCATTGTGATGTCATTATAAACTTGTTTTACATGTTTTATTGTATGCAAATTTATTATAATGAATATTTAGTGGAGAAAATATCCATACAACATGCTTCAATTTGCGCTTGTGATAAAAACTGTGTACATTAAGAGTCTTTAATTTTAGTCCAACATTGAATTTGTCTCTGAATAAGTTCCAAGACTACAGTAGACATGGTAGAATTAAAAAAAAAACAGAAGACTAATTTTCGTAGGAATTGCATGTCTAAGTTATTTTGCCTTTTGTAGTAAATTCTTCACACCAGCAGCAACGCTTTAAGATTAGTTTTGAGAAAACAAACCAACAGCTGAGTGATCCTGAAAATCCTGTGGAAGAAGCCAATGATGTGGAAATTCCGGATATAGTGGAGCCATTGGCTAGTAGAGGTTCTACTGCAGAGGCATCATATCGTGGACAGATGTCCCATGATGAAACCAACATTCAAAGTACCTCATCATATGAACAGATCTTGGCTACATCAAATGGAAAAGATTTCCCTAGTGATTCAGAACTTTCTGGAATATTACAGATAGTTACAAAAGACCTTTCAGATGATCCCGAGAAAAAAGTTACCATGACTGACTTTGCGGGACAGTGTGCATATTATGCCTCACACCAGATTTTTCTGAGTCCACGAGCATTCTTCATTCTGGTGCTCAATATGGAGAAGAAGTTTGATGATACGGTTGGAGAAGAAGTTTGTAGACAGGAAGGCTCCATATACAAGGGATGGACACACAGAGGTAAAATTATTAACTAGTATGAGCAGAAGGTCCAAGTGAGGTTTTCTGATTGAAGGATGTTCAGAATTTGTATGTCGTCTGTCATGTTTTTTCACCATGTTTTTTTCTGGTGTCTATAGTTTTTAAACTTTTCCCATTTTCGACTTTTTCTAAAGACCATTGCGGCTTTTTTGAAATGAACTTGCCACAAAGCTCCCTTGAATACAGTGAATTTGGGTTTGTTCAAACGAAGGGTCATGCCCTCCTTCAGGGAGAGATAATTTAGAATGATGACATCTTTCAAAATTGTGAATTTCATGGCCCCTGGGTAAGGGGTTCTGGTGTTAGGGCGGGGCTTGTTTATTATATACTGAAAATAAATTTATGCTTTGAAAATCTTCTCCTCTGCCCCTTGCAATTGGTATTAAGCAAACAAACTAAATACATAGTTCAGATGAGAAAGAATGCCTCTTCCAAAATTGTTAATTTCATGGCTTCAGGGTCAGGGGTTCTTGTGCTTGGGTGGGACTCTATTGATTAATTAGCAAAAATGCATTAATGCTTTGAAAATCTTCTCCTCTACCCCTGAGTACTAAGCAAAGAAACTAAATGCAATAATATCAATGTAAATGTATTAAATTAAATTATAAGTAAATGTACCTTTTCTTCGCTCCTTGGTATGTCGGAGGCAAACAGAGTACACAATTGTGATAAGTGGAGCAAATGAGAGTTACTTCCCTTGTTAGATGTTGTTAATCAAGAAATCCTTGTATATCATTATATTAACAGACTATTTAATTGAATGAAAATACAATAAAGAATGTTATATATATAGAAACAAAATAAAAATGAATGTTTGGTTTAAATGAGCAAAGCATTCTCAAAGTCAGATTCTTGCCTGGAAAGAAATATAAAAAATTGACATAAACATTATTAATATATTTAGCAAAAGCTGTAATTGTACATAGTATGCTTATACTGTGGTGTTCTGTTTGACAGTAGATGAGTTATTATCACTGGTAGAGTCATGGTTGACAAGAGACTGGACGAAGTTGTTTTATACTTTATCTAAGTAAATAAAAAATCACAGAGAGTCAGGGTGACCTATTGTAATTTGTGACAAGTGGCAAATAGCCATGTTGTATATCCAACTCTGTGTGTACTGAAATGTAGCACTAGGCAAGTGACAAAAACATATCTATATATATTGAATACCTTACACAATATGCAAGTCATCTTCGCTAGCCAAGGGTTTCTGATACGCTACTCTCCTCATAAGCCCTTGGCATACGGTGTTAAAAAGAGTTTTTTTTTTCTCAAGTAGTGATTGGAGTTGATCAATGTCGTTCGACCAATCAGCTATTGTTTTTAGCTCACCTGAGCTGAAAGCTCAAGTGAGTTTTTCTGATCGCCCGTTGTCCGTCGTCCGTCCATCTGTCCGTCTGTCCCTCCGTCCGTCTGTAAACTTTTCACATTTTCAACTTCTTCTCAAGAACCACTGGGCCAATTTTAACCAAACTTGGTACAAAGTATCCTTGGGTGAAGGGGAGTTTAAATTGTTAAAATAAAGAGCCAAATACCCTTACAAGGGGAGATAATAAAAAAAATACAAAAATAGGGTGGGGTCATTAAAAAATCTTCTTCTCAAGAACCACTGGGCCAGAAAAGCTGAAACTTATGTGGAAGCATCCTGGGATAGTGTAGATTCTAAATTGTTAAAATAGTGACCCCCAGGGGTAGGGTGGGGCCACAACAGGTAATCCAAGTTTTACATTGAAATATATAGGAAAAATCTTTAAAAATCTTCTCAAGAACCACTATACCAGAAAAGCTAAAACTTATGTGAAAACATCCTCGGATAATGAAGATTCTAAATTGTTCAAATCAGGACCCCCGGGGGCAGGGTGGGGCCACAATAGGGACTCCAAGTTTAATATTGAAATATATAGGAAAAATCTTTAAAAATGTTCTTCTCAAGAACCACTGGGCCAGAAAAACTGAAACTTATGTGGAAGCATCCTAGGGTAGTGAAGATTCTAAATTGTTCAAATCATGACCCCCGGGGCCACAATAGGGACTCCAAGTTTTACATTGAAATATGTAAGAAAAGTCTTTAAAAATCTTCCTCTTAAGAACCACTGGGCCAGAAAAGCTGAAACTTGTGTGGAAGCATCCTGGAGTAGTGTAGATTCTAAAGATTCTAAATTGTTCAAATCAGGACCCCCGGGGATAGGGCGGGGTCACAATAGGTAATCCAAGTTTTTTTATTGAAATATATAGGAAAAATCTTTAAATCTTCTTCTCAAGAACCACTGGGCCAGAAAAGCTGAAACTTATGTGGAAGCATCCTGGGGTAGTGAAGATTCTAAATTGTTCAAATCATGACCCTGGGGGGTAGGGTGGGGCCACAATAGGTATTACAAGGGGGAAAATCTGGTAAAGAACAGCATGGCCAAAGTTACTCAGGTGAGCGATGTGGCCCATGGGCCTCTTGTTTGTAAATGACGATATTTGCGTTCGGGATATATCTTGACTCTTTAATATCGGGAATGAAAAATGCAAGTAAACAACGATCCATAAGATAACATGTCATTCTATGAATAGTTATATGGTGTCATCCAATATCTTAATCTACGTACGTGAAAAATATGTGATTAAGAATCTATACTGAAGATGTAGATTTGTATTTTAACATGTTTAGATAACAAATTAACATAAAACATTACCTTCTTGTTAATAATTCTTTAAAAACATTATTTTTAGACCCCCTGAGTCACTCAGGTGACCTATTTCTATCTTTTTTCGTCCGTCGTCATGCATTGTCCGTCGTTCATCGGTCGTAAACTTTTGAACATTTTCAGCTTCTTCTCTGGAACCAGCAAACCATTTTCAACCAATTTTGGCATATAGCATCCATGGGTGAAGGGGAACAAAAATTATGAAATTCGTGGCCCCTACCCCCCTGGGGCATGAGGGGTGGGGCCAAAACCATCAAAATTAATGCAATCTTTAAATATCTTCTTCTATACTCCTGGACATCAAGCAGTCAAACTGTTACATGATTGAAATGAGCATTGAGCCCTCCACCAAAATTGTGAAATGCATGGCCCCAGGGTCACGGGTTCTAGTGCTAGGGTGGGGCTATATAGATCATATAGTGAAAGTGTATTATTTCTTTGAAAATCATCTTCTCTACTCTTGGGTATTATTGAAACAAATTGAATACATAGTAATGATAAGCAAGAGTGGCTCTACCAAAATTGTGAAATTCATGGCCCCAGGGTCAGGGGTTCTGGTGCTAGGGCGGGGCTATATAGATCATGTAGTGAAAGTGCATTATTTCTTTGAAAATCTTCTTCTCTACTCCTGGGTATTATTGAAACAAATTGAATACATTGTTATGATAAGCAAGAGTGACTCTACCGAAATTGTGAAATTCATAGTCCCAGGGTCAGGGGTTCTGGTGCTAGGGTGGAGCTATATAGATCATATAGTGAAAGTGCATTATTTCTTTGAAAATCTTCTTCTCTACTCCTGGGTATTATTTAAACAAATGCATAGTTATGATAAGCAAGGATGCCTTTCCAAAATTGTGAATTTCATGATCCCTGGATCAGAGGTTCTGATGTTAGGGTGGGGCTCTATTTATTATAGAGTGAAAATGCATTAATGCTTTAAAAATCTTCTCTGCACCTGGGCATATCAGAGGCAAAAAGAGTAAAAGTTTTAATAAGGAAGGGTATTTTTACCAGATTTTTGAACATCAGGACCATTTGGTCAAGTGTTCTGGTCCAGGCCAGGGCTCTATTAATTTGTATTCTACTGAGAGGAGTTATTCCCCTTTGCCATTTACTTGTGATAATTAATCACTGTAAATAATGTACTTGAAAGGTTAATAGAATAAGAGAATTATGCAAGAATTTTTGTTGTATAATACAAAATGTACTTTCATAGTTTAAATGATCAGGTAGACTTGTAAATAATAGATAAATAAAAACGACACAAAAATAACTTGTCTTATTAGATGGTCATCAAAGACCAAGAGAGGCCAATGTAAGAGATTTCAACAAGGAATTAAAAGAGTACAGAAGCACTGATAGTTTGTTTACATACTGTCTGGTGAGAGTGATAAATGGGGAACAGATAAGAACCTAATTTATGAACTGTTAATGAATACTAGACTAATAATATTGTTGATCCTGATCACCCTATTTTTCTTGCTTTTGGGCAAGAAAGCTTCACCTTTCAGTTCATTTTATACTCTATGGATCCTCTAAATTGTTGTATTATACTCAGGTGACCGTTAAGGCCCTTGGGCCTCTTGTTTAAATAAGCTTTTTATTTCTGTTGATGATGCAATATGTGCGTACCTGGTAAGAATCGTGATCACGTGACGAAAACAATCCTGTCTTTTGTCAGCACCGTATGTCAAGGGTTTATGAGGAGAGTAGCGTATCAGAAACCCTTGGCTAGCAAAGATGTACGCAAATGTCCATTGTATATGTATATTTTGCATTCATTATCATCCCTATAAGTCTTGGGAAAACCAAGTGTGATCCTAAGGAGATCACTCGGGTCTAACACGTTACAATAAGCAAGGGTATTTTTACCAGATTTTTGAAATTCATGAACAACATTGCTTCATCTATTAATTAATTTTGTTCTATACTTCTATGGATCCTTGACAGTGTTGTATTATACTCAGGTGACTGTTAAGGCCTTTGGGCCTCTTGTTTGTTACTGCCCAAGCTTTAAGATAATATGCGATTTCTCCCCATACATATGTTTTTGAAGTAAAAAAAAATGCTCTTTGAAATTGAAAATGTAAACAAGGGCGAGGATCATGCATTTTCTACTCCTTAAACTTTTCACTTTCAGTTTGCTTTTAAGGACATTGGCAAGGTTCCTGGTTATTGTATAGAATTTTTTCAAGAACTTTTGAGTAGGTTATATACTAATCAGGCTATATTCTGGATCATTTTACCTACCAATCCAACATTCTTTTTTAGATTTTGTTAAATTTAGTGTTTTTACAATATTTAATGCATTTCCTATGTAAAATGTTGATAAAAGGGACCTACATAATTTTCACCATAATATTTCTTCAAAACCCATTTATTTCATACAGTGTTTGTATTATATACATTATTGTATCTTCATTTCCTATGATTTCTAGATATTTTGGCTGAAAATGTATATATAGAAACAAGACATGGATATACCGGCACCGATCATCATTTTTGAGTTGCGTCCCTTAACAGCTAAAATTGGTTAAGAAACTGGTTGATTGTTTTTATCATTTAATTGATTGAATTGATTGAAACACGGTTGTCGTCATAAAAATATTGGCATGGATTTAATTTTACTTTTTTTCGTAGTTTACTGTTAGTAAATGCTGATTTCGTCACAGGTCCTAAGAAATGTTGTCAGACGGCATGATCGACCTACCTTTCAGCATATGTCACATCTTTGCCCTTCCCAGCATACTGAACATAACTATGGTAAATGACAACCTGTTGGCTCTTTGTCCCTGAATACAATGTACAACAAAGCCATTACTACTTTTCTTATTGCTGTATAGATGATTCTACCCATTGAAGGAAATACACATGCTTTTGTTTACCTCTGTAATATATGTTTTATTGGTTTTCACCGCTTAGAAAATTCTACACGGGAGATCACTCTCAATCACTATTTTATAAGTGAAAAAACCCATGTATTAAACCTTTTTTCTCCGGAAAAGGCTGACTTGCCAATGTCCTTAACTAATCGTTAAAAAAAAAAATAATTTTTTTTTCAAAAATACTTTACAGTAGGCTTTAGTAATTACACTCAAGACTACTCATGTGTTGTCTAGTCTAGGCATCTACTTATTAAAGAAAGACTTTAATTACTAATGAATCTTCTCACTGCACAATTTTTTGCAAAATACTGCAAACATTTATGATGTCAACTTTAGCGCTCGTTTTCTCGATAACGTCACAATGCACATAAGGGTGGTTTTCGCTTGACGGTCATCATATATATTAATACCTTACACACTAGGCAAGTGTCCATTGTATTTGTATATTTTGCATTCATTATCATTCTTGTAAGACTTGGGCAAACCAAGTATGATCCCAAGGAGATCGCTCGGGTATTCTTATTAGAATTTTGAAATTCTTGAGCAAGATAGCTTCTTCTTGCTTCATCTATTAGTTAATTTTGCTTAATATACTTCTATGGATCCTTTACAGTGTTGTATTATACTCAGGTGACTGGTAAGGCCCTTGGGCCTCTTGTTTCTTCAAAGAACAGCCAACTCATAAGGCATATTTAATGCAAGCATCTATAAGCAGTTTAGGTTTAAGTTTATTTTTCAGATTAGATTCCTCGATAAACTATTGAGAATACAATAGATTATCAGAGTTTTACAAGGGAGTACATAGGACGAAATCGGTAAAATAAAGTGGAAGATCACAATCACAATAAATCTTAATAAAAAGGAAGACTTATCAAAGATGTTAACTTTGGAGTTTATTTTTGTCTTAAGATCATGAGCACTGGAGTTAGAGTTGAGCCCAATTCAGAAATCCAAATTTGACTTAATGCATATATGTGTTGGACAAAACTTTTATCTAAAACAGCAGGTTTATGTTGATCGCACTAATATTAAGGCATTCCAATGTTGTACTGATTTAACTTTGAATAAATCTTATCTCCATTAGGTCTCGATTTTGATTCATATTGGCATGGAGTCAAAATATTTTTCTTTAAATAAAGGGGGAAATAAAGAAAATTACTAAGCAAAAGTGACTCAGGTGAGCATTGTGTCCCAGGGGCCTCTTATTATACAATGTTTATGGAACATAAAAATGAATGAATAAAGTTTTCTTTCTTCCTTTTGTGCGATTATAATTCAAAGCAAAATTTTGTTTTTGTAATGGAGAAAAACCAGAAATTCATGTTCATTCTAGGATTTCTTAAAGCTATTTTATGACCTTGCTTAAGTAGCCAAGGTAAAGGTCATTGACAGGAAAGATACAGTGTATATATCAATTCTAAAATGATCCATACCTTCTCTCCAGATGAGCACAAAAATCTTAATAACATTTGTCTCAAAAATTATGATCATTACAGATATATTCAGTATGATATCATACCAACTCAAGAAATACAATTGTTTTTACGATTGTTGTATGTGCAGTATGGAATACTGTTTCCATCTCCCATGACTTTCATAATCGATATACAGTGTAATCTATTTTTAAAAGTATATCACTAAAAAATATCATTATTAGAATTAGCATTGACAGAACTACAAGTATACAATAGCTAGACATTTGGCTGATAGGATCTCACTGATATCTATTTGAAAATCCCACTAGCCAAGACCTATGTTTGAACATCCTAAGGAATAAAACAATCTCAACGTTGTGAAAGACAGGTTTGTCAGAACATAATAATGCTATGGACAAATTGATGCCAGATTCTACACTTCTAAGTTTCTTTACATATGAATATTGCAGTCTATTGTCAGTCAGCATATATAAAAAGACTGATAGCATAACTTCAGCTTCTAAATTTATGATTGGGAAATTATAAAATATTGAGAGAAAAAAAATCCATAGTAGTTGTATAATTCATTTTTCACTGATAGTTTTGCATTTTACCTGAAAAATAATTAGGTCCAATTTTATCCAGGGAATATTTGTTTACATTATGTTTTGTTTTAAATTCAGATTACCTTGAATTCTGGATGAAGTCCATTCACCAGTACAGCAGTGATAAGGCTCCTGTGATCCTGGTTGGTACACACAGTGAAAACAAAACAGAAAAGGTGCAAACTTTTTGTTTCTTCTAAATAAAAGTCAAAACTTTATATTATCAAAAAATCATATATATATTTTTTAAATGAATTTTAGAACAAACAATTGACAAAAAGTGTGCAAGAGTTTTGAATATTTTGTTATACCTCTAAAATCAATGGTAAGGAATGAGAAACCTTTTTTTTAATTTAATGATAATGGAATGGATCTGTAGTAAGGCGGTTTTAGATTAATCACTAAGAATTGAGATGTATTAAGTTTTTTTAAAAAAAAAAACCTTAAATTCGTAAAGGAGAATGAAAACATTGTTTTAAGTTTTTTAGCTTATCTAACACAGGCACTTGTTTCCGAAATAAATTTTTAACCCATAGTATAATAATAACACAAGGTATCTAACTCTGAATGACACGGAGTACCCCCTTCCCCCAGAATCGCACTCAATTACACTTTCAGAGGAAAAACACTGACAAACTGTTTATACCTATGTTTTCTAAGATAATTTATCTACACAACCATATATGGCATGCTTGTCTTTATTATGTCTCCCCTTCCAGGGGAGACATATTGTTTTTGTCGATTTTCTTATTGAATTTCTTCTTCTTCTTCTTCATCCAAATTTTGTCCAGGCCGTAACTTTAATACCCTTTGACATTAAGACTTCAAACTTGGAACATACATAGATGACATTGAGAAGGAGTGCACGCCACCAACATTTTTGACCTTGACCTATTTATAAGGTCAAGGTCAATCTTTTACATCAAAATAGAGTTTAGCCCATAACTTGAGATCCCTTTGATATTAGGACTTCAAACTTGTAACATAGGAAGAAGACCTTGAGACAAAATGCACTGCATTAGAATTTTGACCTTGACCCCTTTCTGCCTTCAAGGTCAAATAGGGAAAAAACACGATCTGACCATAACTTGAGAACCTTTTGACATTAAGACTTCAAACTTGGAACATGCAGAGGTGGTATAAAGGAGGGATGCATGCCACCAAAATTTTTGACCTTGATTCAGTTATTATAAGGTCAAGGTCAATCTTTTACATCAAAATAGAGTCCAAGCCATAGCTTGAGTACCCTTTGATATTAGGACTTCAAACTTGTAACATAGAAAGAAGACATTGATACAAGATGCAACACACCAAAATTTTTGACCTTGACCTCTTTTCTTCCTCAAGGTCAAATAGGGAAAAAACTTGATTAAACCATTACTTAAGAATCCTTTGTTATAAAGACTTCAGACATTGAACATGCAGAAGTGGTATGAAGGAAGGATGCATGCCACCAAAATTTTTGACCTTGATCCAATTATTATAATGTCAAGGTTATTCTTTTACATCAAAATAGAGTCCAGGCCTTAGCTTGAGTACCCTTTGATATTAGGACTTCAAACTTGTAACATAGAAAGAAGACATTGTTACAAGATGCAACGCTTCAAAATTTTGACCTTGACCCCTTTCTTCAAGGTCAAATAGAGAAAACATGACTAGACCATAACTTGAGAACCCTGACATTAAGACTTCAAACTTGGAACATGGAGAGGTGGTATAGAGGAAGGGTGAATGGCAACATTTTTTCACCTTGACCTATTAATAAAGCCAAGGTCAATCGTTTACATGAAAATATAGTCTAGGTCATAACTTCAGAACTTTTTGACATTAGGATTTCAAACTTGGAACAAGGAAAGACAACATTGAGACTAAATGTACTGCATCAAAATATTTGACCTTGACCACTTTCTTCAAGGTCAAATTAAGAAAAACACAACCAGACCATTACTTGAGATGCGTTTGACATGAAGACTTGAAATTTTGTACACAGAATTTGAGTTGAGATGCACTACATTATTATTTTTTACCCTGATCATATATTTGCACTCGTTAATGTTGGTAAAGAAGGGGAGACGTGTTTTTTTGTAAAAAAAAAACAATACCCACTAGTTTTCTTTAGTCTCTGTAATCGTCGAGTGGAAAAGACGATTTCAACCATGAAATGGTATGTGCTAATCCCGCACAGAGATTTTGATTGGCTAAAAATCTGTTTCTAAAATTACATAGGATAAACATCGTAATGTTTTCAGGGAAAATCAGACGTAAACAAGTTCTATTTACTCATGCAATATTTAAACATTGGAATTGAATTTTTAAACCCACTCATTTTTTAATTTTGTTCTCTGTGCGGGATTAGCACATACCATTTCATGGTTGAATTCGACTTTTCCACTCGACGAGCAGAGTTTTGACGCTGTTTACGGAGACTAAAGAAAATAAAGACAAGCATGCCATATATGGTTGTGTAGATAAATTATCATAGAAAACATAGGTATAAACAGTTTGTCAGGGTATTTCCTCTGAAAGTGTAATTGAGTGCGATTCTGGGGGAAGGGGGTACTCCGTGTCATTCGGAGTTAGATACCTTGTGTTATTATTATACTATGGGTTAAAAATTTATTACCGAAACAAGTACCTGTGTTATCTAAGCTGAGAGCTCAAGTGAGCTTTTTGAACATATTTTGTGCACTTCTGTTGGTCTGTCTTTCATTAAACCTTTAACATATGCAACTACTAAAAACCACTAGGCCAATTTCAACTAAACTTAAGTTTGCACACAGCATCCTTGGAAGAATATATTGAATTTTTAGCTCACCTCGACGAAGTCGAGATGAGATTATGCTATACCGTCGGTGTTGGCGTCGGCTTCCAGGTTAAAGTTCTAGGAGCAAGTCCATTCCCAAGTAACTATAAGCCCTACCTGGACCAAATTTGCATGGATGATGCATCTAGGGATGGACACTACCACACTCGCTTCGGATGCTGGATCTGACCTAGATTTTCCACATATGTGACCAGGTTAAAGTTTTTGGAGCAGGTCTGTTCCCAAGTAACTATAAGTCCTACCTAAACCAAACTTGCATGGATGATGCATCTAGAGATGGACACTACCTCACTTGCTTCTGATACTGGATCTGACCTAGATTTTCGACATGAATGAGCAGGTTAAAGTTTTTGGAGCAGGTCCATTCCCAAGTAATATAAGCCCTACCTAGACCAAACTTGCATGAATGATGCATTTAGGGATGGACACTTTCACACTTGATTCGGATGCTGGATCTGACCTAGATTTTCCAGATGAGTGACCAGGTTAAAGTTTTTGGAGCAGGTCTGTTCCCAAGTAACTATAAGTCCTACCTAAACCAAACTAGCATTGATGATGCATCTAGGGATGTACAGTAACTCACTTGCTTTGGATGCTGCATCTGACCTAGATTTTCCACATGAGTGAATTTTAGCCATATTTTAACCACATTAGCATGGATGATGTATCTAGGGATGGATACTTCCAGACTTGCTTTGAATCTAAATATGATCTACATTTTCCAGATGAGTGACCAAGATAATTTTTTGGGAGTAGCTATAAAATATTATGGCCTGTTATGATAAACTTTGTATAGATAGTGCATCTAAGGATGAAAACTTCCAGACTTGCTCTGGATTTTGGAACTGACCAAAGTTTTCTTGATTAGTAAACAGGTTAAAATTTTTTGAGCAGGTCTATTTCCAAGTAACTATAAGTCCTACTTAAATCAAACTTGCATGGATATTGATCTTTGGATGTACACTAACTGGAAAAAAAATATGATGTGAAATTTGAATTACTTATAGATAACATTCGTCGAGGTGAGCTTCGTAATCTTTGATTACCTATGTTTTTAGCTCACCTGAGCCGAAGGCTCAAGTGAGCTTTTCTGATCAAAATATGTCCGTTGTCTGTCGTCGTTGGCGTTGTTGTCGTTGTAAACTTTTCACAATTTCATCTTCTTCTCCAGAACTACTGGGCCAATTTCAACCAAACTTGGCACAGAGTATCCTTGGGTGAAGGGGATTCAAGTTTGTTCAAATGAAGGTCCACGCCTTCTTCCAAGGGGAGAGAATCATGAATTCATGAAAAATTAATGCCATCATTTAAAAATCTTCTTCTCAAGAACTACTGTGCTTGAAAATATGAAACTTATATGGAAGCATCCTCAGGTAGTGTAGATTCAATTTTATTCAAATCATGACCCCCTGGGGTAGGGTGGGGCCACAATGGGCGATCAAAATTTTACATAGGAATATTTTTCTAAAACTCTTTAAAAATCTTCTTCTCAAGAACAGCAAAGCCATGATTGGTCATATTTATATGGAAGCATCCTCAGGTAGTGAAGATTCAAGTTTGTTCAAATCATGACCCCCAGGGGTAGGGTGGGGCCATAATGGATGATCAAATTTTTAAATAGGAATATATAGGAAAACTCTTTAAAAATCTTCTTCTCAAGAACAGCAAAGCCATGATTGGTTATATTTATGTAGTAGCATCCTCAGGTAGTGTAGATTCAAGTTTGTTCAAATCATGACTGCTGGGGGTAGGGTGGGCCCACAATGGGTGATCAAAGTTTTACATAGGAATATATAGGAAAATTCTTAAAAAATCTTCTCAAGAACAGCAAAGCCATGAATGGTTATGTTTATATGGAAGCATCCTTAGGTAGTGTAGATTCAAGTTTGTTCCAATCATGACCCCCAGGGTAGGGTGGAGCCACAATGGGCGATCCAAGTTTTAAATAAGAATACATAGGAAAAATCTGTAAAAATCTTCTTCACAAGAACAACAAAGCCATGATTGGTCATATTTACATGGAAGCATCAAGTAGTGCAGGTTCAAGTTTGTTCCAATCATGACCCCGGGGGTAAGGTGGGGCCACAATTGGTGATCAATGTTTTACGTAAAATACATAGGAAAAATTTGTAAAAATCTTTTTCTCAAGAACAGCAAAGCCATGTTTGTTTTTTTTTATGGGTGCATCCTCAGGTAGTGTAGATTCAAGTTTGTTTAAATCATGACCCCCCAGGGGTAGGGTAGGGCCACAATGGGCGATCAAAGTTTTACATAGGAATACATAGGAAAAAGCAAGCCTTTTAAAATCTTCTTCTGAAGAAAAGCAAAACAATAATTAGTCATATTTAAATGCAAGCATCCTCAGGTAATGTAGGTTCAAATTTTGTTCAAATCATAACCCCCAGGAGAACAGAGGGGCCATAACAGGGGATCATAGTTATACAAAGGAAACAAATGATATATCAATAAGAATTGTCTTCCTAAGAACAGCATTAGTTGTCATATTAATTCAAAAGCATCCCTTTGAAGTATAGATTCAAGTTCAAATTACCCCCCCCCCCCCTTCGAACCACTTTTATATCAAAACTGACTTCAACTGATTTCTGCTTTTTCCTAGCCAGAGTGCTCAGGTGAGCGATGTGGCCCCTGGGCCTCTTGTTAAGCTTCAACTAGAATATTTGGGGGATTTTTTTTCTAATCACAAAAAAATTATTAAAATATTAACATGACTGTACTGTAGTGCAGTTAGTAAAATTTCAAGATGAGACCATATTTCTTAGAATGGGTCACAAAAGGGGTTAAATAGCATTTCACATTGACATATGTAAAAAATATTTCATGTGTTCTCCCAGTTAACTAAAGAATTACATTACATGTACCTAGGAGGAATTTAGTCAAAATGGAAAGCAAGTATTCACATAGCATGAAGATTCGATTGTTTTTATTTTGGAGTGACATGATGTAAAAGGTAAAGATAACGAACAGTGATTGATCTCAGAAAATCCACAAACAATACAAATATGTGAAGAAGGCATAAAACACTGACCCTGGAAATTCCAGAGGGGGATCAAGTACTTAGGAGGAGTAAGCATCCCCTGTTGACCAGTCACACCCGCTGTGAGCCGTATGTATTGATCAGGTAGAGGAACTATCTGTAGTCAATTCAGTACAAAAACAAAGGCCTAACAATTAGTATGAAACAAGTCAGCCAAAATACGACCCAGTGATAGGACATACTTTTTAACAAGGTCATTATAACGACCATAAAATTTACGAAAAGCATCATTTCAAATAACTTTTAACAGTTATTTAGTAAATATATGGAATTGATTATTATATGGTATAGCATTAGATTGTGCTAAACAGGTTAGGTATCTGTTCGGCTAATATTTCTCAAGTGAATGATTAAGGTCATTGAACTCAGGTATTTAAATCAAAGAAATCTCTGAACTTATTTCATATTTAGCTCACCTGGGCTTAAGTGAGCTTTTTTGATCGAAAGTTGTCCGTTGTCTGTCATTGTCATTTTCAACTTCTTCTGAAGTTCTTCTGAAGAACCACTGGGCCAATTTCAACCAAGCTTGCCACAAAGTATCCTTGGGTAAAGAGGATTCATGTTTGTTGAAATGAAGGGCGATGGCTTCTTTCAAGGGGAGATAATTACAACTTTGTGAAAAGTGAATGGCATCATTTAAAAATCTTCTTCTTAAGAACCATAGTGCTGGAAAATATGAAACTTATGTGAAATCATCCTGAGGTATTGTAAAATCAAGTTTGTTTAAATCATGACCACTGGGGCTAGGGTGGGGCCACAATGGGCAATCAAAGTTTTACATAGGAATACATAGGAAAATCTTTAACATTCTTCTTCCCAAGAACAGCAAAGCCATGATAGGTCATAATTATAAAGAATCATCCTCAATAATGTTGATTCAAATTTGTTCAAAATCATGACCTCCAGGAGTATAGAGGGGCCATAAGCCATAACAGGAGATCATGTTATACAAAAGAATATATATATATATATATATATATATATATATATATATATATATATATATATATATATATATATATATATATATATATATATAAATTCTCTTCTTAAAACAGCAAAGTCAAATTTTAAGCATATTAATTTAGAAATATCCTCAGGTAGTGTAGATTCAAGTTTGTTCATATCATACCACTTTAATATTTAAGCTTTTCAATACTGAACTGATTTCTGTTTTTTTCTTAGCCAAAATGCCCAGGTGAGCGATGTGGCCCCTGGGCCTCTTGTTAAGTGTTTTTGAACAATACAAGAAGAATACCTACATTTTTGATAATATTCATATGGATAACAATCATATAATTGTAGTGTGCCCCGGGTTTTAATTTATATTGCTTATTGTAATTTGTAAGTTCTTCCTTGTGTTAGATAAAGTCTGTCCTAACAGACAAAATGTGAACCAATTAAATTAGCTTGAGCATCATCCTACCAATATCTTGTCAATTGCATATAATATAAGAAGGGATTTATTTCAACAGGAGAAAATGCTGTTTTTCCGACAAATATGGAAAATTTTAGAAATGAAGGAGAAAACGTTGCACAAACATCTTGATGTGAAGAGGCAGTTTGCAGTTGGATTCCATGACAATGAAAGTATTGAAAAAATCAAACGGTCCATTCTTGATATTGTGCCCAAACTTGATCACTGGGGTGAAGAACTTCCACAATCATGGGCAATGTTTGAAAAATTCTTTCAGGAAAAGAGAAATTTCAAGATTTTGAGCAAAGCTGAACTACAGAGATTCAATGAAGCATTGCCAGAGGGAATAAAGCTCCAAACTGATGATATAAATGTTATGCTGCAGTTCTTCCATGACATCAGAGAACTTTTACACTTTGGTCAAGAATTCCTCAATGAAGTAATTATTCTTGACGTTCAGTGGTTCGCAGATGCATTTAAAAATGTTATAACAGATGAAAACCATGCAAAGGAGGATTTGTTTCACCTTGCCTCAGAGTGGGACAAGTTCAATGAAGCTGGAGAGTTACATGACACTTTGCTGTCTGCTATATGGAGAATGAACAACAATGGTTACATTGAACACAAAGATGATATTATGCTGTACATGGAGAAGTTAGGACTCTTAGCTAAATTGAGTGACAAAAAATGGTATGTTCCCTGTATGAACAAAACACCATTTTGTATGGAATACTTTTCATCATATCATGCCTCATCCATCATTTGCTACAGATTTGATCTTCTTCCTGCCAGCATTTTCCATCGTCTTATAGCAACTTGCATTCAGATTCCTTGGGAGATTTTTTCTGATGGAGACCAGGAATGTATTTATCAGACGGCAGCTGTGTTCATGTATCAGGACATGCAACATAATATTCTGCTTGGAATGACCCAAACAGAAATTCAGTTGCAAGTGTTTGTTGTGGAAGGAGAAGTTGATGTTTCAACATGTCACCAGATCAGAGAAAACATAGAGCATATTTTACACAATCTTTCCAGCACATTCGAGAAGAACTCAGAATTCCATGTTGCGTTCAAGTGTAAACCTACTGGATTTTGTGATAGCAAAGAAAGCGCTGTCATCAGTGAATCTAAGTTTATCAGAGAGACTTTTCTGTGTCCATCCTGTCCGGCAAACAAAAAGCATCGTATCAACACAAACAACATCACAAAATATTGGAAACAGGTAACTCTTCTAAAATGTAAAGTACACGTACTACATATAACTTAAACTTGGTATAAAAACTGACACTGAATCTATTTCTGTAAAAAGGACCCAAATAATGTTATTATGCTATTTGATGTAATATACATGACAAGAAGCATTCTGCTAAAATATATTTAACACCCATTTCTGAAGCTATAAACCTCTCTGAGATTTCTTTATAATAAAGCCATCTGAAAGTGATATTACCTTGCAGAAACAGTTCATCCCCCCTTTCCTATGAAAGCTTAATATTTTTTGAAATAATTATTTTTGTTATGTCTTGAACCAAAAATATTAATATGATATGAAGGTTAATAAAAGAATACCTGATTTATTGGAGGTTTCTAAAGGATCTATGAATCATTAAATGCATAACATTTGTGATAACTAAGTATTTTAATAAAGATATTTTATTCCTTGCCATACTATTATGACCACAAAAACTTCTTTTGGAAAATTTTAAAGTTTCTAAAATGTTAAAATTTGATGGTCTACAAATAATACATTTATAGTTTTCTTAGGCCTACAAATGAAGCATAAGAGTATAAAAAAACATGACGCCGGTCTGATAACTAAATTTTCCCACTTTTTCAGAACATTAAAGACCTTTAGATCCTTTGGAATCATGCAGCATTCAATCGCTAAAGCCACCTGAACATCAATCTGCTTAAACTTTTTAGTAAAAAGAGCTAAATGATTTTCTTATTTAACTTTGTATTTGATTGTTTATGTTTTATTTAAGATGGCCTGATCATATTAACTGAAAGAAAACAAATTTTGTTTCAGATAAAGACGAGTGTTGCCAGCGCTACCTCTGGACTAGACCTGGGAGGTAGATCTAGATTTGCCAAACTTGGAATGGCAACAAATGATGTGTTAATTCAGGCATGTAGAGATATGCTGGAGATGGAGGTACCACCTTCCCATATTGAAAACAAAGTGAAATCATCTAAAATCAAATTAAACCAAGATCAAAAGGATCTCGTGCAAAAAGCTAAAAGTTCTGGTTATAATATTTTTGATATTTCATTGACGTACACCTTAGTCAGAAACATTTGCTCAAAGATCCCTAAACCGACAAAAGGATCATGGGGAGGTAACAGTATGCCTGCTCCAGGAGAGATTATGGTTGGTGATGACATAGAGAGAATCAGGTTAACCCGAAACAATTTGACTGCGCATGTGAGCTCAGCCTCCACCCCTCAGACAGAATTCGATGACACTTGGTCAATGATGTCAGATATCTGCAAAAGACTGGAAACCTTCACTGGAAAGAAGTACCTGGATAAACTTAATTACATTCAAAAACTGACCCTGAAAGAGGAAGACGAAGATGATATTATTGAAAAGGTTAAAATGGAAAGCCAGCATGAAATGATGAAAGAAATGTGGTCAGATATGAAAGACATAAAGGCAGCAGTATTGAGGCCTGAAAGCAAGCATGCTTCAAATTATGAGTATTACTCATAAAATGATATGTTCACCTGTGTGTAAATTTTAAGTATTTTTGAACTCAATACAATTTCTGTGATTTTGCAAGTGTTTGTAGGATTTGATAATTACAATTTACATGTATTTATGTTTTTTGAACTTGATCCAAGCTCCAGAAGATTTGGTGGTTTCATATTAAAATCAACATTAAGAAGCCAATGTTTATTACGAATATGGTTTCTCTGGAATTAACACTTGCACTTAATTTAGGATGAAGGTCATTTTCATGTAGTAGGAAGTAAATGTAAATAGTATTGATATGTCAAATATTGAAATGTTTCACTCTACAACTTTAGAACACTTGTTAGAATAAATCTAAACATAATTAGTTCATTTTCATTCATCTTATCTTTGTCATTCTTTCATTCTTTATCCCGGTTTTGTATTTAATTCTGTTATCTATTTTTCTTTTTATACCCCATGCAACAAGTTGCGTGAGGTATAATGATTTTGACCCGTCCGTCAGTCAGTGTGTCAGTCATTCAGTCCTGTTTTTTTGTCAGTGCAACTCCTCATAAACCGCTGCACAGAATTTGGTCAAGCTTTGCAGATATTTAGGACACAATGTGTAGATGTGCATATTACCAGGAAATTCCGATTCCTTTATTTTTTCAGGGAATTTCGGCACTTTTGAACTTATATTTTTGGCCATATCTTGAATATAGAGATGAACAGTTTGTCAACGCAACTCCTCTTAAACCGCTGCACAGAATTTGGTCACACTGTGCAGATGTTTAGGACACAGTGTTTAGATGTGCATATTACCAGGAAATTCTGGTTCCTTTATTTTCCTGGGAATTTCGGCACTTTTGAACTTAGATTTTTGGCCATATCTTGAATATAGAGATGAACAGTTTGTCAGCGCAACTCCTTAAACCGCTGCACAGAACTTGCATGGTCAAACTTTGCAGATATTTAGTACACAGTGTGTAGATGTGCATATTACCAAGAAATTGCAATTCCATTATTTTTGCCTTTAGAGTTTTGACTATTGTTGACTATTATTGACTATTATTGAAGAATTGACTATTATTGAAGAAAATTTTCAGCTAGGTAATAAGGAAATCCACTGGAACCAGCTTTTGTAATGAAATTTTATGTGAAATATTTTATGACCTTAAAAGTCCCTTTTGATTTTGAGATCAAAATATTAATGATTTAACACACACACACACACACACACACACACACAATCTTGGATAGTTCTCACCCCCCCCCCCCCCCCCCCCATTGATGCTTTGCCTTAAATAATTTCATAGGTACAGTTTATAAACAAATTCATATGACTTCATCATAATTTTGTTTCCATCAATTATTTAAATGTGTAAATTGTCATGTGTTAAACATGGACTTGCACTCATTAACAAATTGAAATCACTGAGGAATTTAAATAACAGTTTGTCAGCATAACTCCTGCACTGAATTTCCTGAAACTTTGTAGGTATTTCAGACATAATGTATAGATTTGTATATTACCAAGAAATTTTGATTCCGTTATTTATCTAGAAACTTCAGCCCAATTAAATTTGTAACATACAAAGATTTGAATGTCCTTATATGCCAGAAGTTTTGATGTGATGATTTTTTGCAACTAATGCCCCTTTTTGAATTATACTTTGTATTTAAAGTGCACCGTGCCATTCATTTTGTGTTGAATTGTCGAGTTTTTGGGAGCGTGGGGTATGTGAGCTTGCTCACTTTTTCTTTCATTTTCTTTGTTTTTATCATTTGTATCTTCCACTTACCGGTACATCGATTTGTTGTAATAGTATGTTTAGCTTCTTTATCTCTCCTTAAAAATTAATAAATTTTGCAAACAAACTTCGAAAGGCCTGACCTAGAGGTTATAATTAGTCCTCTAATATTACATGTTCGTAAAACTATATCTAGATTTCACTCGCGTAGTAAGTCTTGTAGAGAACAAGACAGGACAAGTAATGTCGTATGGCCCTCAAATTCCTGGATAAATAAATAACTTGTAACCTAGTCTTTTAAAAGTGGAGAACAAGTTCTTATATTTAAGCATATAAGATTTCTTCTCATATTTTTAAAGATAAATTTTAGAGGACTTAGATTCTGTATAATTGTGAAAGTGATAAGAATATACAGTACATGTATTTTCAATATTCTTACGTTCTTAAAAATATGAGCAACGTTTTCTGGGTTACTGCAATGTTTTCTTTTTGGATACATTACAATAACATCTAAGGTGATTAAACAGTCCATAAATACCTGTCTTGAGTACATTGGAATAACATCCTAGGCGATTAATTAATTAGACCATAAAATACTTGTTTTTGCTGGTTGCTTTTTAGACCAGAATCTCCCATACCCCTTTCTTTCATCAATAAATAAATAAATAATAATCAGCAGTTCTCAAAACAATATTAAAGGAAATTAACTATTTATCAGACATTAGGTTAGAAATTCACCATGTGTCACTTTTATTTGTGATTTGTTAAACTGAAAACCGGAAAGAAAAAAATACTAAGTGTAGAATTCAAAATTATTAATATATATATATATATATATATATATATATATATATATATATATATATATATATATATATATATATATATATATATATATATATATGGTCATTTCCCAGCTTCATTTCATAGGAGGCACCTACCTTAAGAATCGTATGATTTTACTTTTTAAAAAAATGTCAAATTGTCACGATGAGAAAACGAAAAAGATTGTGTCAAATTTTTGTAGCTTCCAGTCTGATTTTTATTCCCTGATGAACAACTTGACGAGAATGTAATGTGTTACAGACTAGCTGCACTTTGTAAGTGTCAAATTTATATACAGTGAAACTTGTCAAATTCGAACACCACTGGTTCCAGAGAAATTGGCCAGAATAGACAACATTCGGGATTGGGCAACATTTTAAAGAGTTAAATTTACTAAAAGGGATATCAAGTTTAGATTGTATCAAGCAAGATTTTGGAATATACACCATCCGGTTAGACAAGTTCTACTGTATATTTATAAATACACCTGTATTTATAATTTTTAATTTTCACTGTCTAGTGGGATTCGGTATGAATTTTACTTATACATGTTGCAAAATTAATAGGTAATTGACAACACGTATATGTTATAGTACTGTCGTTTCGCACCAAAACCAGAATACCCCATGCATGAACGCCCCAAAGAAATTTTTCCGGCACCCAAGTACAATACGATCTATAGATCTCTGGAAATGCAGGCAAGAGAAAAACAATTATACTGTTTGACGACGGCATCCTTTTTAGTGTTAAACACTCGGCAAGAGACTAACCGATTTTATAAACATATGTTATGCATGGGCATGGAGTGATATGTTTACTATGTATTGAAAATGATTGTCACAGACCCGTAGGAAGCAATTTGAATTTTCAGTCCCACAATCGAACATTTTCAGTTGGGGGGGGGGGGGGGGGGGGCTACCATACGAATACACTTTGATAAGTAAAAAACAATTTAAAGAAATGTTTATCAGATGTTATTCTTGAGGTGGCACAAGCTTAAAGTAGCTTTTTTTCTTTAGTATACTATATCGATAAAATTATTCTCACTCCCCACGTGCTCCCCTTCCCGGTTCTTACGGCCCTGAATTTAAGAGGTTTAAGTGTAAATGAAATCCAAAAATCCAATGGCTTACATGAAGAAACAGTTGTCAGAGTTATTTGGATTAGCTTCCCCTTTCATGATTGATTGATTGATTGTATGCTGTTGAACGTCCCATTCGAGAATGTTTCACTCATATAGAGACGTCACGGTATACCGGTGAAGAGCTTCAGATTTAGACCTATACTCGGCACTCAGGGCCATTGAGCAGTGAGGGTTCTTTATCGTGCCAACGCCTACCGTGACAAGGGACCTCTGTTTTTAAGGTCTCATCCGAAAGACCCGTGACTTTCACTTCTAGCGTCGGGCGCTTGGCGAAGGAACAGTCGCTACCTATGTTTACGCCTAGGTTTGACACGGTGCGGTGAACGAGAGTCGAACCCGGGCCTCCCGATCACGAAGCGAGCGTCCTACCACTAGGCTACCGTGACCGGTCTCCTCACATGTTCGAACCTTTAAATAACAACCTTTAAAATGCCCAGTATATTATAATTCATACCGAAGTGGTTATAGGAAAAACGTAATAACTTCATCTGATCATCTTTTAGCCAAGAGTTTCTGATCCGCTACTCTCCTCACAAACCCTTGGCATATGGTGCTGTCAAAAGACGGGATTGTTTACGTCACGTGATCTCAAATCTTACCACATACACACAGATTGCGTCATCCAGAAAAATAAAAGCAAATTTAAACATTAAAGATTTTAGAGAATAATTAACAAGAAGGTATCGAGCGATGTTTACTTGTTATTTATGGTGCTAATCTAGATTCTAGGTCACATTATTTGCACATCAACTTAAGATTGGATGACACCATAACTTTTTATAGAATGACATGTTATCGTACGTATCATTGTTTACTTTTGTTTTTCATTCCCAAGACAAAAGAGTCAAGATATATCCCGAACGCAGATATCGTCATTTACAAAAAACAATTGCCGATTGGTCGAACTATGTCAATCAGCTCCATTCACAACTCGAGAAAAAAATTCCAACTTTTGACAGCACCCTAGGCCAAGGGTTTTATGAAAAGAGAAGCGGATCAGAAACCCTTGGCTAGCGAAGATGTCATGTGGTATTTTTTTTTTTATTTAATTTAATTTTATTTTATATCATTTTATTTCATTCTTTTAGGGGGGGATGGAGTATTGTTAGAAACAATTTGTAATGATACGGCATTTTGTGAACGTTATTTGTTCGTTCTAAATTACTCCGCGTTTAAATGAAGAAAAGGTCAAACAATATTAGAGGTAGAGGGCATTTTTACGTTTTCGCAATGAATCCGTCTTTGAAAGCTAAATACCATTCCTGTATTAAATAAGAAAAAATTATTTAATGGCTATGCGCATTGTAGAAATTTTGCATCCATTTTGTTCTTTGATACCGCGATCAAAGAAATTTTTTATGAATTATTTCTTAAACCAACAGTCTGAAAAACTGTAAAAGAGAATAATACATTTTCAAAATCATTTATTTTGTAATTTTATCTTGGCGCTCTCGTTGAAAATGAGGTGGAAGGGTAGTGTTTCTAGGAACAGAGAAAAAGAGTTTTACATATTGTAAAATGTAATTAAAGCAACATTGTGACGAAACATTTCACAATATAATCTAATACAAAGCTAAAAAATTCAACAGTGAAAAAGATGACACTAGTCTTTAATAAGCTTTTATTA